CTCTAATTTTTAATTTTTAAATATATTTACGAGGGGGGAAAAATATAAAAATGGCTTTAAAAATCAATCTTTATTCATAAAACTGTTTATACTAATTAAAGAAAAAAGAAAAGAAAGAGAAAGTCTTGAAAAGTCTCAAGAAATGAAGTAGAACAAGACGCTTGTCAGCGTGCACTCGGGGTTCTTTTTAGTGTAGTCTCTTGGTTTAATGATACATATAGAATATGTAGTTTCATTTATTCTTGCCGTGACCAAAAAATATAATAAATTCTCAGTCCAGTTGATAGCATAATATAATTAAGACTTATATAATTTTGACTTGATAAATTTACCGCAATTATTGCAAAGAATAATAAATACTTTAATTATCAAATATAAAGTAAAACTAAAAACCTTCCTTGGATTGAAAATAGTAAAAAAAGAAAATGTATTAATATTATTATTGTTGACCAAGATTTGTCCTTACTTTGACAGACATTTGGTCCCGGATTTGGTCTAACGCAAATACCATTCACTGATCCTTTGTTTGCAATCCTTCGTTATTTCACCTGTACAGTTTTGTTGACAATCGGCACTTGAGTCTATTGTTCTTTTATAGTAGTTAGAGCTTTGAATATCAGTAGCTTTTAAGATAGAAGGCCTGTAGATTTGTGAGTGATTTGAGCGTATTTTTTGAGAAGAAGAAATACCATAAGCCCATCGACGAAGAAGCTGATGCAATTAGCACTTGAAGCATGGGACGAGACAAGACAGGCTAGGAACGCCTGGCTAGTCTGGCCGCGATTTGGCGATGAATGCAAAAAAAAAAAAAAATAGCGCCGAAATTAATACTCGGCGTTCCACAGGAACCCCGAGTAAAAAATTTACGGCTTCATGAGGGCTCGAACCGCGAACCACGCAATTTATACTTTGACACCGCCGCATATTAAAGAATTGTATATCATTCGTGCGGTTTCCCTGTGCTTTTTAGTTTTGGGCTTCCTTTAGCGAATCCATGCCATATATGGAAACAAACAAAATGGCGGATTGTTTAGAAGTGTTTTCGCTATAATATCTGCAAGTTTCCGACGATTTCAAGCTTTAAAAGTCGAGAAAATCGACAAAAACCATTCCTATCGAACTTCCAAATAAGGTAAGATTACCATATATGGCTGCTAAACGAAGGATAACTTTTGTGGGGCAATTCTTTGATATGTGAAAGCAACACAACTGTTGAGCCTGGGCCCCCTGTTAATAAGACAGCACTTTTCAACACCTTTAGGGCACGATGATCGTTCGGTATAATGATATATATACCCATAGTTAATAGAGGTCTCCCTCTACTAACTATGATTTACCAAAACATTTTAAGCCGTTAACTTTAACGGCCGATTTTGGTCAGTCGTTCGGTATAATGTAATAATATCATTATACTATCATCTTTACCTAACAAGTTAATGGTTTAAAATGTTTTGCAATATCAAGTTGAAATTAGGCCATACGCTACTGCTGTGATGAGTTTACTTTTTTTGGGCTTCTTGTTGCGTATCAGGGCAGCTTCTAAGAGTCTTAAGTTGACTGGATCGCTGTTTCGACCGATGATCTTGATGGAAAACAGTGGGGGTCCGGTTTGGCATCGCTGTACGTGTTTGGAAAAGGAGGACGAGTCGGATTTGAAATGTTCCTTAATCCTATCGTGTAGAGGCCGTATGGTGCTGCCGATGTAGGTCTCCTCGCAACTTTGACATTCGAGTTCGTATACTGTATTCTTTACAAAACATAGGTTGTTCTCTTCGTGGATGGGACATTCGCTTTTGTTGCACCTTCGTGTTGTGGGATTTGCTTTCAGTGCCTGTTTAAGTGTGGTTGACTTATGTGACAAACGTATCGGGAGGTTTTCTTTCTTGAATAATTTTCGTATCTCGCGGTTGAATTGATCACTGATGAAAGGTATACGAAAATACATGAAATCGTCACTATTGGTGTTGTTTTGACGTTGAGGCGCGTTTCGGGGCTGGATGTATGTTTTCTCTATCGTCTCGTGCGAGTATCCATTGAGGTGAAGGACGTCATCGAATTCCCTGTTATGTTCGATTTGTGCTTCGAGTTCGGTGCATCGTTGGTTTATACGTTTTCTTTYATTCAAAATGAAGTGACGTTTGCATTTGCTTGAGAGAGCGGATTGCTGGTGTACGAACATGGGTTTTTTGGCACTCTTCTTGTAGAATTCAAAGGATGGTGTGCCCTGCTCCGTGATGGTGACTGAGAAGTCTAATAGCGAGAGGGTCCGTCCATTGGGTATGGCCGTGGGCTTCTCGATTTCGAAAGACCTTTTGTTTTAACTATTATTTTAACTATTGTTTTAACATCCCCCTTCACAAAAGACTCTGTACTCCTTATACTCGCATATATGTAAATTTCCTTCACTCTCCTGATGATGTCGGCGACCGACGAAAGCTTGAAAGTAAACTCATCACAGCAGTAGCGTATGGCCTAATTTCAACTTGATATTGCACAACACGATGCTACTGAAGGACAACTTCATTACTTTAAAATGTTTTGTTGTATATATCAAGATAATCACTTATTTAGTCATTATATATAGTCCCCACGAGTACACCCTGCTGTCAGGGTCTAGTTATACAAGAAATGCTCATGTCCCTTTTTTACCTGTTCGACATATTATTTTACTCCACACGAATTCACGGATGTCGTCTTCCATATCTAAATGACCAATCGAATACAGATTATCTGGTGTTGATGCAATATGAACTAGACCTAACACATCGATTGAGTTTCCGATTCCAAGGCAATAAACATCAACTCGATCCGATAAAGGTTTGCTTGCCAAATGAAGTTGAACGTAAGGGCCCATATGCCTTGTTTGAATTCCGTCAGTCATCACTACGGCAATCTATAGACGAAGAAAATAGTTAGAACGTGAAAACCTCATCAGGATTCCAATACATTTTTTTGCCTGCATCCTTATGAATTTGGAAAAAAATTAACTAGCAAAATTGCTGTCGAGATAGCTTAAACGGCTAACGCGTTGCCATGCCGTATCATAGTTAATAGAGGGGTCCCCTCTATTAACTATGGCCGTATACAACAAATTCAAATCATGTGGGAAAAATAACTTTTGTTTCTAAGAATTCAACTGTGAAATAAAAATACAACTAACAATGAAACGTTCCCGGGTGGTTTTAACTGGTGGAATTATACCAACGCTTTAGCAGATAAGGTCTATACGTGGACTATTTCTCTACTTTTTTTGATTAAGATTTCACTAACATGAAATTAGAAACTATTACAAAGGCAATGTACTGAAAAAATATGCCGAGAAAGACATCAGCTAAGTTTCAGTGATCATCGGACATCAACATTTATACCTTGAGAATCTCAGGCGAAGATCTCATCCCTGCTGAAGGCACAAAGATTTCTTGATTAGCTAATATCAAAGCTTTATCAATATACGTAAGGCCTTGCGTAATGCGCATATTATATATCAATCGACTGTATGCTTCAACTGTAACATTAGACCCTTGCAACGTGTTAAACTTGAAAATTATTTCGGGTTTTGTACTGAAGGATATGACTGCCACTTGGTTCCCATCGGCACTAACTGTTATTTCCTTGATAACTGTAAACAGGAAATTCCTGATTTTTCTCCAATCGCAATTGCTTAAGCTTCCTGAAGTGTCTACTAAAAATGCAATATCCACTTTTCTGTTACATCTGACTGAAACTTAAATAGGAAGAAAATCCATAATAAAAGTTATGACTATAATTTGAACCTAAGTGAAACATTTAGGGGATTGTTTGGGAGGAGTTATCATTTAATTATATTGAAGGAGTACGCGAATGAGCAGCGTTCATTATCATAACTCTCCCTTACCTTCTCTTTTGGAGACACAATTGTCTTCAGTAAAGTAGGGGACATATTTTAGTTTTGAGAAAGATAAATAATCACTAAAACATTTGATCTGAAAAACAAAAAAAACAATTGTCTTTTTAAAACTCAAAAAATACTCAGTAGCCTCCGGGACGGTACTTAATGCAAGAAAAATAATCATAACATGATAACAACATTGCTTACTATGCCTCCTTGTTTACCAGGTAAGGATAGCTGTAACTGATCGTAGTCTTCTCTCTGTCCCCCGCATACCAATTTAGTGGCATCTGAAAAAACTGTTTCGTTTTTATACCTTGCTAAAATTTTACAGCTTTGATGCGGACTGACTTCAAGTGGAAGATATGTGAATTGCAAGCATTTCCAAGGGCTCTTTTGTCCTTCATATTCTAAAATGATAAGTAAGAGTAATATCAACGTTCAGTTTCCTCAGACAGTAATAAAATACTCCACTTTTTCAGATTTCTTGTAAATACTTTTAAGAGGTATTAGAGAAGAGGATAGAATACATTATCATAGACCCCTTGCATGCATGCATGCAACACCAAAGCAACTTCATGTGGAGGACAAAACAAACTATTTTTGCCATCGTGGGAAGTAGTAGAATCAGTTGTTTTGTCCTCCAGYTGGAGCTGCGTTCTCATGAACTGCAAGGGATCGAATGGACTGGCAATTTGGACGAAACGCAGGAGCTTCGGACGAACGAATTATTCGCTAAATGATAATCCAGCCAGCTCCTTTGTTTAAGGATTGCTTCAGCAATCAACTTTTTTCAAACTTTTTCTTCAGCTTTTTTTATATCTAAAATAGATTCTTTAACTTACTGTGAATTACACCCCGACTGCCGCAATGAGGCTGAGATTGATCTAAGGTAAGAAGCAAAAATAAACCATAGATTGATTGTTTCAGAACGCCAGTGCACCACGTTCACATCCAATTTTCATTTGAAGTGTCCATGTCAACTCAAACTATGCCTTACTAAAAGAATTGGACTTTGCATTCAAATAATAACCATCATTATAGATAAACGTACACGAATTAATAACAGGTTTTTTTCTTAATGTCAGTTTAAGATTACTTAATATCACATTGGTTTTTGTTGAAATAATTTTCAGAAGTTAGTGATGTTTTTCACCGCTTATTTTAAATACTTAAGATTTTAGAGATAATATTCCACCTTAGGAGGTGTCTACCCAGTCTAAATAACGCAACTTACCGTAATCAATGATTTTYTGACACGAACCCTCGTCAAGTTTGACATCGTCAACAGCAATATCGCCTTGATCTCCGCCTATAGTTTCTGCTTCGATGACGAACTAAAACATTCGAATTATTCACGGTTTAAAATTGTGGTATGCTAATAGTTTTTAGTGCAACGTGAATTGTTATTCTTCCATTATGCAAAATTCCAAGAACACAAGATAGAAATTCATAAAATTTAAATCTCTGGCCTATTTCTGTAATGTCTAGGCTCCGTTACTGTTTCGTAGCCATCTTGTGTGCATGTACGTTCTGCCCACAGGAATGTGTAGGGTTAGCGTCCAATATTCCGATATCCCGACGGCCGGAAACTGTGCCTCCGTCTCATGACGGTTTTACTAACCTTGTATCTATTGCGTCCATCGGATGTTAACGGTACCTGTCCAAATTTCCATTGATCATCTTGGTCGCCATAGCTATGCCAAATTACCTTTTCTGATTGGTTGGTTTTCATTAGTACCTTTAATGAGCCGATGTCCTTACCCCACATATGAAACCAAAACTGCAAACAAAGGTTTTCTCTAGTACTTATCCATTCGCTTTCAATTCTTGCTGTATAGTTCTTTCTGCCTATTGATCCATCAACATGAATATAATTCCCTAACAATAAAGTAAAATAAATCAGTAACTTACGAAGTCAATTAAATTAAAACAAGAACCTCTTTGTGGAACATACCGTGTCCAGTTTTGCCGTGAAATATATAKTTTTTTACCAGCACCGCAATCGAGAAAAAGAAAAAAGAAAAAACAAATTGTTTGAAATCTGCTCTAGTCGAGAATCGAACCCGAGATCGTCAGTTCAACGCCGCTTTTCAAGTATGATCTTGCGTGTAAAATATAATACAATACAAGTATCTACAGAAAAAATAAGATTAAGTATATTTCAGTAAAAAAAAAGAAGGAAAGAAAAAAGAATCGCTTAGAAGCGATCGATTCGAGAATCGAAGCCGCGATCCTAAGTTCGACGCTATTCGACATAAAAAAATGATGAGGTATTTCTTTCCGGAAGGATTTGAAATGTTGCAAAACTATAGATATTTGTATGCCGAATCAATTTGGTATAGACACGTCTATAGTACTTACAGATTTATTAGAAAGGGAATTATTTGGAATTAAAAAATAAAACTCCAATTAAAATGCAATTGCTTGTAATTAAGAAACATAATTAGTCAGTAGGCTATTGTGAACAATTTCCTAGGAGACACCTTTACAGCCATGGAATTAATTAAAACCATCAAAAATGAACATAACATTAGATTTAAAAGAAGAATAATGGAATTGAGAGGTATGGTTAGACATACTATGAAAAGCAGGAACCACGGCAGGCCTGATATGGTACTTACATAGTTAGGACTCTGGAATACCTGGTAGACCGACTTGAAGATGACGTTTTCTTGCTGAAAAAAGTTCAAATGCTTCACAATCTCAAATATTCATATACTGAGCAATTCCGGATACCTTAGTGGATGCCTTACCGGTGAAAGAGAAAGACCTAAGGAAATATACACAAAGGGATCCATTGCTTTCACGAGTCCTGAAATTAGCTCAAATGGGATGGAGTACGGATGATGATGATCCAGAAGTTAAACCTTACCAACAACGTAGAGATGAAATCTCAGTGCATCATGACGGCGAGATCCTGATGAGGGGAACCAGAGTCATAATACCCAAGAGAATAAGAGAAAAAGTCCTCCATACAATCCACGAATAACGCATCGGAATGGTCAAGATAAAAGGATTTTCACGGGGATAAGTAAAGTGAAACAACCTTGACAAGGGCATCGAACTCAACTCAAAGTCAAAGCAAAGAACTGCGAASTGCAAAGGATGCAAAGAAGTATCCAGAAGTCATACGTCTGCTCCTTTACATCGCTGGTAGTGTCCAGCTCACCCATGGCAAAGATTTTCACCTAGATTTTGCTGGACCCGTTCTGGGAAAGATGCTCCTGGTTTGTACGGATACACTCTTAGTAGCCAGAGATTGTAATCATGAAAGATACAAGCTGATACAACCGCAGAGGAGACGGTGGAAACACTGGGTTCTGTCTTCGCTAAAATGGGCCTTCCTGAACAGATTGTGTCCGACAATGGTGCACAGTTCACTTCAAGTACTTTCAAGAAGTTTGCTGAAGAAAACGGAACACGGCACGTCATGGGTGCACCTTACCACCCCTCTACAAATGGCATGGTCGAAAGATCTGTCCAAAGTTTCAAACATGCACTTAAGGCCGAAAAGTCTGATCGATCAATACAGCACAAACTGGATAGGTTCTTGCTCGCTTATCGAACAGCACCGCATGTCAGCCCCACACAACTTCTTTGGATAGAACTTGAGATCAAGACTGGACCTCCTGATGCCGAATCTTATGAAGAAGGTGGACGGAAAGCTTCTTCAGAATGAATGTAAATAGCCTACCGTAAAGTCGATGAGTCAGAAAGTGTGGAATAGGAACTATCGGTCTGGTCCAAAATGGGTGAGTGGAACTGTGATAGAGTCGAAAGTTCCTCTGCTGTATAAAGTAGAAACGTCAAACATGGAAACGTTAGATAGAGCAACTGAACTCGCGAGTCACCTGACCTAGCGTTTCACTTTCACCAAAGATACTGTACCACTTGTTTTAGTCACAGATGAATTATTGCAAGGTGAATCATCAGAACCAACTCCAATGCCAAGTACCACTGCCACTGAAGGACCACGAGGTCTGAACGCTTTATCAAAACACCCACGAAACACCCACCAAGTTGAAGGACTTTGACTTGACTTGTTGGACTGTTGTCACATTGTTGATTGACAACGGCTGTTTCTTGGTGTTGCAAGGCACCAAACTCACTATTCTTTGATTGTGTTTTTCCTACTTGACAAATCTTCTCTCTGGTGCTGAATATGTTATTATGATTCTATATCACAAAGTACAGGGATTTATTGCTTCCTTGGCTTCTTTGCATGGTGTACATGATATAATGTATCTACCTCTACAACAAGCACTGGGACAGTGGGTCACTGGGACACTGGGACACTGACCCACTGACCAGGGACACTTGATTGCTTGCATGAGGTATATTACATGTATCAACTTTTACAGCAAACACACGTTTTTTGGAAGAAAATTAATTCCATGGCTGTAAAATTTTAAGTATTGATTTAAGTACCTCCACATCAAATTTTACTCAGTGCACAAGATGCACAATTTTGCACCATTTTCCTGGTCTATAACTTCAATTTCAATACAATATCATTGGAGAAACAACAAATTTCGTGTAACAAATACATGTATAGGGATGCGTTGGATAGCTTTTCGAGTTTTTACCAGCTTGCTATATCATGATGATGACTTAGAACCTGTGTGACATATGTGTGGAGGTCTCATCACCCATTACAAACCTGATTAGAGGCTGAGGAGTTGTGCTTCAAGTTAAGTCCGAAAATTTTGATAAATTAACTATTTTAATGTTTCAACTTAATGAAGTCTTCGAACAAATTACTCTGAAGCGGACCTTGTGGAATTCCAAGGTTCTGCACGTGTTACACAATGCCACATCATAATCAGGGCTGTCTATTTCCTTCATGAAATGCTAATTTTTCAGTTGACAAGGTAAAATTCTCTGAATACCCTTGAAAGTAAAATCGCTTCTTTCCAATTGTCCTACAAGAGCAATAATTTTCACTTTTAGACAGCCTACCGTCATTTCTATTGCATCTGGTATGGTCAGATCGTGGGCCAGTTCCATCAGAATTTGTCATTCCAGACGTTCTGATCCAGTTAAGTTCTGTATTCAAGTCACGTTTTAAACCACAAAATCCCGTTTCAAAGGAGCAAAACGCTAAAAAAACATTCAGTTAGAATTAATACTTATGATTGCAACTAGATTGAGAGCAAAAATGAACGAAAGGAACTTAGCCACAGGCTTTGCATTTCCAAATATAAAAAGCTAGTTTTCCGGTATACGCACTACTTGTTCAATTTGTTCTTGCGGTCAATATAGTACGATCAAAGCAGTGGCTATGACTCTGAACAGTCTTAACCCCATACTTACAAAAATCCCTACACTCAAATTCATCCTCCATGTTTTTACGGCTTTCGTTTTGAGAACATCCAAGATTGTTTAAAGGACAGTCACCTTATGGAATGGGAAAAAAATACAAAGTGGAATTACAGTAACATTCCATCCCACCATAGTGAACATAGAAACACCCCTGCTGTACACAAATATTCCTTCCATTTACATATTATGTAAAAACATGTTTTAACATTAAAGAGTAAATGATCAGTTTTGGCTTAGGCACCTACCACAGATAGCTGGGTTATTAGTAAAGTCAGGACAAGCACTTTTGTTCTTGCATGTACTTGACCAATCAATGCAATTCCCTCCAACACATTGGTACTGGCCTCTGCATTCTGGTTCTAAAACGAAGCTCTTGTATTTACAGCAGAAACCGTTGCAACGCGACTTCAATGTTCAAAAGAAATGTTAGGATTTAGGTTTTTCTTCGCCTTGGGGGCGCAGCTTGCTGCAAATCAGCCAATGACTGAACGTATTTACGATAAGCTCCGCCCCTTAGATCGAAGGAAGAACAAAATCAAAACAAACTTCGAAACGAAGAAGTCGCGATGCAACGATTTCCGCTGTAACCTGATATTAAATTGTTAAACGATTCAAGTTGAAATTAAAAGCAAAAAAATGTTTCAGGGAAGATAAATGTTTTGTTTCAAGAACAAAGATTAATTCCCATGGAATGTCATGCTGGAAAAACTAAAAGGAAAGTARCCTGGAACGATCTCCTAATATAACAGGAATTTGGTGGGTTGATTTAAAGGGCGTAAGACGAGAATAAACCGAGAATAAACAGACATTAGAAACATATGAACTTGAAAAGTTTAACACCACAATAAATTATTGTAAACTTACCACTACAATGTCTTTCGTCTAATTTATCTTTGCAGTTGTCTTTTTTGTCGCATAGTTGCTCTGCGAAAATACATTCTGCACTAGAGCACTGGAACATGTTGCTAGGGCAGATGCACCGTTCCTCATCCGAGCGATCGCTGCAATCTTCATCGCCATCACACCGTCTATCTTTTTGTATGCATTCATTATTGTCACACTGGAATTTGTCGCTTGAGCATCGAAAGCCTTTAAAAGTTAGATAAAAACTTGTGGTGAGGTTTATAAGCAAGTAAAGATAATTGTGCAGTGGATTTTGCGGTCGTCATATATAAATTTGGCATTGCCGGATTCTCCTACAATCGTCATAACTCGTCATAAGACACTTGAAGGTCCTTCAAGTGACCATGTTGTGTTTAGTTTTGGCTATTTGCTTCAGTAAGGGTTTTCTGGAGAACGGGTTTCCCTTCAAATCTTTTGCATGCCGAGCTTGTGACTCCATTGCTCCCTGGATCAAGATAAGATAAGACTGATGTCATACCTGGTTTAGCATATTTTGGATACAGACTACAGAATTTTGTTTCAATACTGACATTAGTAAGTGCAATATAAGTAGTTCCGTGCAGTGCTCCTTCTACAGCAAATTGTATCTAAAAGAGAAAAATTGTTTGTCAATAAGGAAACCTATGCATGAGATATAGGCAGTAGAATATTAAAAAGAGAAAAAGGAATGGAACTACTAAGACTTCCGATCTTTTTCGTGGTGGATGGCTCACGATGGACTCCATAATGAGTAGGTCATAAAGGCTGGTACCTAGTCGCCTAGGCACGGTAAGTACTGCTAACCTTCTGATTTTTGATCGCATCAAGTGGTATACGTCCTTCTTTCCATTCCAATCCGTGATCACCACTTATATTCCAAAGTACTTCCGAACCGTCAACAGTTAGTTGTGAAACTGAGAACGAGCTGTTGGTTGTCGAACTCATGAGATAAAATAATTCCAGACATAGACCAATTCCCTTGTGGTACGATCGCCATGGAAGCTCAAAGGTTTCAAGAATCGTAGAGCACGTGGTATTAACCAGGATGAAGTCGATTCCATCTAATAAGCAAACCCGGTATGGCATACTGGTTATTTATAAAGTCACCAGGTAATGTGGGTATATCAATCTTGATAGATGATCATTGGATGATCGATCTACTGTAAGAAGGCAGACAGATAGGGAACACAATGATTGTTGGTATTATTTGCTTTCAATTTGATATTGTGTATTTTATGATAATCGTCCTGAAATGTTTTCATCACATTACTATATATGCCATTAATCAGATTTCTGTAGGAGTAACTTTATGCTCACCTCGTTGGACTTTCTTCCAACAAGTATCATCTTTACTGATTTCCATCCACCAACATATGCCTTTCGTAAATGCGCATCTTCTTAAAATTTCAGCTGAAATAAAATGTGATATTTGCATAATGCTTGCGTTGTTATCAGACTGGTGGGAACTAACGGCAAACTAGTATGAGATGCGTCGGTGTTTCTAAAGAAACAGTTATGTAAAAGGATAAATTTAACACCGTAAAAAAAGTATGTGAAATAACTTACTGACGTTTCGGACGTTAATCCTTCGTCGGAGTAAAAGTGATGAAAATAGGTAAAGGGTGAGTTTATACAGTAGGAGCAGGAAGGAAAATAGACCAATAGGAGCAAAGTAGGCATGGTAACGTGAAATAAACAAAAAAGCAAAGGAAGTGTAAGACAAAAGAACAATAAGGTGCTAAAAAGGGAACAAAAGATAAACAACCTATCTGAAAACAAAGCGTTCATTCAACCCATGGGGATTATAAGTGCCCAATTGGTGAATGAGCCGCATTTCTTTGGTTTTGCGACAATCATTATTGCCGCTAATCAATTACAAAACAAAATGGCTGTATATATAGCGAAAGAATCGATCGTATTAACGGATTAAAAAGGTAATAAACAACATTTTGCCGTGCTCCCTTGCAAGGATCACAAAACTATAACATACTTACGCTGCACAATCATTTCTCCAACGGCCTTGGTGAAATATAGCGAATTGATAGGCCATTCGTATGAAATCTAAATAAATTAGATACAAATTGAAGGTAGTAACTTGAACACGTTGAAACATTTTCCAAAGTCTGGACTTGCTACTTGCATGACAAGGGCAGAGGTCATTGTGGGGGGAGAGGTGAATTTGAGCTGTAAAGAAGGCCATTCAACTTGATCAACTTGAATGACTTTTCAGCCATTGCTAGTTAAACTGATTTCATTTCCTGAACCAAGCTTTCAGAATTTTACTTGGGTCATAAAGGCTCGATCGTTTATATACTACTCTACCCAACTGTATTGTATAATTTGCTTGTTATTAGCCGGATTAATTCCACGATTACGGTTATTCGGCGATTACGGGATTCACACCGAGCAAACTCCTGGACTCTCCGAAAAAGTGTTACCTTGATTTGATTTGGCAAATAACTTCAAAGACCTCCTCTGCCAACCAGAGGGTTCCAGAATTCCTGAAAGCATCTCAGTTCTGCGTTCCTTTTTGATTTCATTACTACTATAGGAATGACACATGATCGTCACTATACGACTCTCTAACTTACCATCATCGTGTGATTTTCCAATTCAAGATTATCTTTGATTTCCCATGAGAAAGTTTCTGGTTTACACGACATGTTTTGAATGGTTGCGATCAATATATTGGTTTTATTGTCAAACAGGTACAATGGACAGTCTGGGCAGTGTACTCCATCACAGCAATATTCATAGGAAACTGTTGAATGTGCAGATGTTATTAATGTCACTGTCAAATAGTAACTGAAATACTGACATTTTTCCTTTATACTATATACATATGGTTTTGGTGGAGTTTTATAATGACCGAGTACTGAAACTTGTAAAAAATGTATACCGATAAAGGGGAGTATCAAGATATAAAGAAATGTATATACGGATGATGAGTACTGGGAAAGAGCGACTATTAGCAATACATTTCGGACTTGGAATACATGATCATTCGTCTATAACCTTTAATTGTGTTCCTATAAACACCACATAACTATTCATTCAAATAACAGTCCCAAATAACAGTACTGTGTAGTATAGTGCATAATTTAAAATTGATCGACTAAACCTTTGTGTACTGAAGGCTGTAAGGAATCTGTGTATTTTTGTGTTTTTAATATGATTTGTGTAGCTTCTCATTGACTGACAATGAATGTTTGAGAATTCAAAATCTTACCAGATACTTCAGCAACTGTTGCAACTGTGACGGTAAATGCATAATTACTATTGAAAGTAATGAAGAATGTTCGTTTTCCTATAGAAAGCCATGAAATAAATTAGATTACAACCGGATCTTAGTCATATAGCAGAATGCATGTGGCTATCAACCTGTGATTTTATTATGCCCTAGTCTCCAGTCTAACTTAGTCTACAGTGGAATCCTTAGACAGTTCAAACAGCGAATGCAAATCGATTAAGTGGAACTTCTGGGAAAAGGCTACTAAATCGATTAATATAACCAGCAGAGCTATTTTTGTGACCCCATTGTTAGCGTCACATTTTATGTGATTGTTATTCTCTGCTGTCAACAATATAAATATTAGTCATATGCAGAAAAGCAATGATGGACCGGGAGCATTAATTGATTCAGTTCTACGTTACTATCTCATATTTGAAACAGCTTTATATCATTAAAAGTATTTAAGTCAAGCTCAAACCTGGCATTTCTTTATAAAGCATTTCTTTTGGTATTGGCATCAAAAGATCTCCTTTATCCTTTTTACGAATACCAACTGTTAGTAAATTTCGATTACCACCGGTCTTTGATGACGCTAAGACGTTGTAGACTATGCATGTAGACAAATATAGATTTGCTCTTGATATGATCCTACCAAGTTAGAAACATAGAAATCCTATGATTCTTGAAATTAAATGAATTTAATATATATATATTGCAATAAATGTCGAAAATTTTAAGTGGTCCTCAAGAGCGGGATATTTCTTACACGATAAACATTGACTTTCATTTCCATGACATAACGGTGGAGCAATTTTTTTAAGGCAGTACTTTTTTTTAAAGCATTTAATTCTATACTTACACATTCTCTCCGTATTTTTCAAGTATTTTTGTATTAGGCAGCGAAAGAATTAGATCGTGCACAGTATTGTAAGTAAGGCTGCAGCTGTCGTCACAAGTTAAATAGAACGTGTAGAATCCACTCTCAGGAACCTGTCAAAGCAAATAGCTACTTATGTACGTTTTCGATAACTGATACAAAAAATACGCATTGATCGCATAATTAGCATGAAATGTTTTTTCCGTGACGCAAGAACTTCGTTTATCAGAATATATAAATCTCATGACTCGCCAAACTAGCAAAGACCTAATTTTCCATACGGCCTCTTTGGAATAGGTATAATCCTCAAAACTATAGTAGAGGTCTTCGGACGACTTCCAAATATGGATGTCCACATCCATGGTGAAATTGGTCTCATGGCTTAATCGTTAGGTTTAGGGAAAATATCGGGTAAGGCAATGCACAGCGCTGGTTCGAATCTTCAAAACAAATTTTCACTTTAAGTCTTTTGTTTAAAATTTTCTAAGTTCTTCTCCGCCACATAATAGTCTTCTTCACGGTTACCTGCGCCATCTTGAAAGGTAGCCGTGCCTTTGCATCGAAGCGAGACAACCGTTGAGCGTGCAATGATAGAGACCTGTGAAGAATTGTCTGTAGGTGTGAAAGAAGGTTTCTATCATTGCACGCTCAACGGTCGTCTCGCTTCGATGCAAAGGCACGGCTACCTTTCAAGATGGCGCAGGTAACCGTGAAGGAGACTATTGGGACATGAGAGTCTTCTATGTGCACATCAACGCTGTACATGCACAACCATAAATGGAAGTCGAACAACAGACCCTTCAAAAGCTAGCACCCCCCCCCCCCCCTCCTGCTATTTATTTACATGCACCGGATTGCTCTTAAAGTGTGGTTTGCTAAGTGCAGTACTGCACCTTATCACTGTTTTGTTATTTTTTCGGCATGATCCATCATTTCGTATTAAATTACTGTAGGAGAGGGCGAAAAGTGAAAAGAAAGAAACAAAAAGAGCCAGAGCATTGAATACTGGGGAGCACTTAAAATAATTTTCGCAATCCCAATCTAATGAATTCGCATGCATACTGCTAGCTATATCAGAAAACTAAATACTGAATACTACAATTGCGCATTTCAAAACCAAAATGCATTGTTCTTGCTTTTAAAATCCGTAGGTGCATTGTAAAATGATCCAATTCTAAACTAAACAAGAGCATTTCATGACGACGTTTTTGACTGCATTGAGCTGGTATTGCCATTTCTGTAATCACAAGCCTCCTTTTGAACGGTGATATAACGACCGACAATGCTTTGCGGTCTTGAAATACACTATCTTCAGTATTTAACGTCTTGATGTATATAAAAGCAATGCATTTCATCTTTAATTCTATGTTAATTCTATACCTGCACATACGTCGATAAAAGCTGGACATATTCACCAAGGAAATTTTGAGGTGCATTGAAGTTATTTACTGTTTCAGAAAGATCTGGGATAGTTTTTTTCATCCAAAGATGTGGAATAGCTTTTTCTGTCTTTGGTGATGATAGCCATACATTTCGTGTGACACCATGCAGATCATCTAATCCAATGGATAGTCTATGTAAGCATTCATTCTATTACAATGCCAGAGATTCCGAACCGATATGGTCTATTGGATTTAGAAAATTGCATACTCTCGGTGGAAATCGAGTACAAGAAATATATAGAGCTTTTAGATTTAGCTTTTAGATTTTTTTAGATTGTGTGCTTTATATTTATGTAGTCTGCCTTTCCCTACCTTAGTTACAATGACCTATGTTTCTACTTTCATTTGATACAAAAAATATGGTTAATTTCTGTTAAAAACCGATAAGTATTATAACATACTTCTTATGAT